GAAGAAGATTGTAGAGTGAACTGAGGCTCTGAGATAAACTTTCCTGTTTGTGGAGCAACCCCAAACCAAAATATGGAATGCTGAATGCCAAAATTCAGGAAAATAGACCATCCCTTTGTCTTCCCCTCACACCATTGCTCTCCTCCCTCGTCAGACTTTATATCAACTGGGAGGAGGGGTTATGTCAGTCTGTTTTCTGCAGATCTGAAAAGAGACTATGTTAGGAATATTGTATTTCTCTCTGAAGCTTGCAGTGTAAATACTGCAGAACAAAATACAGACTTTCCTGTCAAGAAAGGAAGTGTACTGAGGAAATAGCTTTTTACAAAAATCATACTGAGAAGAAGAGAAGAGTATTTCGGCATATATGTATCCGTGTGTGTGGTAAGAGCAAGGAAATTTAGTGCAGAGAAGGCTGTTCAAATTAGGTTAAAATAGAGTTTATAGATGAGATCTACTGCTTACCTCCGTTGTTATTACATGATCGTATTGTCAATGGTTAACAAAGGAGCCACTATCTCTTTAAGCTATTCAGTGCTAGGAGTTCCTAAGTAGAATTCTACCTCTCCAGTGTGTGTGTGTGTGTGTGTGTGTGTGTGTGTGTGTGTGTCCACTGATGGCCAACTTAAAGGACAAGACAGTGCAGATCTAGCCAAGTTGATGCTGGTCTAATAACATACTCATGTACATGACATTAGGCTCCAAAAGGTTTCAAATGCACCCTCAGACCCTCTTGCCTAGTACATTATTTCCAAGAAGAGCTGGCCTCCAGTCCAAACTGCCTGCACACGAAACAGTGAAGAAATGAATGTCTTTCCAGAAAAGAATGAGTGGTTTTCAGCTCCCTCTCTTCCTTCTCTCAAGGAGTGAAAGGAAAAGTGGATTAAAGTGCTCACAAGCTTGGAAAGCCACTCACTTACTATATAACAGTTTCTGGGAAAGAAGGCATAGTACTCTCAGTTACAGAATCATCTGAATGTGAACCAAACAGAGATTAAGCACCAATGGAGAACTGAACTTGGACTTTGGGGACTGGGAAAATAACTTATAGAAGCCGCAAATTACAAATCCTGCTGTGACATCTGAGAGACCTGGATAGGGTCCTTCCCTTCCATTCTATATCCTTCACCCAATCTCATTGACTGTCTCTTTTTAGAAAAAGAAACACACACACACACACACACACACACACACACACACACACACACCCTGTTTCTCTCATTTTGTTTCCATGTTGACATTTTGTTGGCTGAATTTTTAAAAGCAGAGATTGACTGGTGGAGGGGGGGTTGTACAGGGCTGGGGGTGGGGAATGGATGATGATGGTCAAAGGCAGAAAACATCTGGAGAAGTAATGTACAGCATGGTGACTACAGTTAACAATATTGTATATTTTAAAGTTGCTAAGAGAGTAGATCTTCAAAGTTTTCATCACAGAAAACTGTAACTCTGTGAGGTGACAGATGTTAATTAGACTTATGGTGATCATTTCACAATATATGCATAATACACAAATCATTATATCTTAAATAGATACAATGTTATATGTCAATTGTATCTCAATAGAAGTGAGAAAATTTAAAAAATAAAAGTAATCCATCAGGTCACTTGCTGTTACTTTGTTTTTAAATCAAAGGTAAAGACTGGTTGGCGGCCTTAATCAGATGCTTATGGCTGGTTAATTCCATAAAAATTTGGAGCCAAAATGGAAAATGATTCTGACTCTGCCTTGCTTGCCTCAGCTTCCTCACCATGCTAACTCTTAAAAAAAATTCTTATTGCACATACACAGAACTAAATCAAACCAAGCAGTATAAAGGAACACCTAAGTAAATTGTCCCCCACCCACTTATTCCCAGTTTTATGGGGCCAGTTGCAACCGGTGGCCAGCTGGAATCCTAGGTGGAAGTAAATTAACTGGAAATGTCAAGTCACTGCTGCAGTCAACTGGAAAAAAGGAACAAATACCAGTGCAGCATGGTCCCAGAGCCTGACTCTGGCTGCCACCCACACAACTCAGAGCACTTTAGTGCAAGCATGAAGACCCTGTCTGCCCTGTCTATATTTGCCTGTAGGATGGAGGCCAGGCCACCAACTTCCACTTCTTGATACTCTCAATGTACACATGAAGAGCTTAGAGGGAATGCTTCCTAAGGGAATTGGAAAAGGTGTCTTTCCATATTTCTAACTTGGAATAAATACTGTAACCCTATTAGCTTCCTGAGAGAAAGCTTCAGTCTTGGTTCCAAGTTTTCTATGATTGATACTACCATACTATTACTACTACTACTACTACTACTACTACTACTACTACTCATTATATTTTAAGAATAGCATTTCTAATTATCTTATGAATTTCTGTTTTCTTAGGAAGAAGGAAAAAGTAAAAAGTTGCCTGGCTTTTCAGAGCAGAAAAGGTTAAAAAGTAGTAACGAAGTAGATAAGACACTTTCATTGGTTGCAGGTTTACAAATAATAAAGTGCAGTTTTACGATAATGGACTTTCCACAGCACCCCCTCCCCAGGTTCTTTCATAAAAAGAGAGGGAGGAAGAGAGGAAAGAAGGAAGGAGGAAGGAAGGAAGTGGAAAGAAGGAGGGAGGAGGAAAAAAATAAATTCTTATTATTTATAGCTAAGACTCAAATTACATCACCCCAGCACAGCAAAATCTCTCTTGAAATAGCTGACTCTATAGGTTACGCACCTCAGTCTTGCTAAGAATGCAGAAATTTGGAACTTTAAAACCTTTTGGGAACTTCACAGATAAACTAGAGAAAAGAAACAGGGCAGATTTGCATCCTTTCTTTCCATTACACCATGCCATTAAGAATATATTCTATAATAATTTCCTTCAGGCAATCTCATTCCCAGTTTTCACAGTTTTTTTTTTCCCAAGGGAGCAAAACAGACCCACACTTTCTTTACCTAACGCTAGCCTGAAGAATCTACTGAATTCTATTGATTTTTCTCTCCTTGAACACAAGCTCATTAACCTGAAACACTAAGGGGATAGCTAGATTTCACTGAGCTATAACTCAGTTTCTGAAAACAAAAAGATCCCAAGACAATGATACAGTCCTCTCCCTAGGATTCCTTTTTTCCATCCCTGCAAAAATTCAGCTACAGAAGCTGTGACATTGATTCCATAACCTAAAGACTGTCACATAAGTTAGAAGAAGCTTTCTTTAAATCCATCTTTCTTTATTGCAAAGTTTAGCAAAATCAAGTTTCCTGTCTTTCCACCAAATTCTACATTCTCCCAAGCTACAGGGGGTGAGTAAATGCTAGCATCAAAGAGCTGTGCTCTTGCACCAGCAAGCTTCCCTGCCTCCTCTCAGTTAAGACAGCCAGGGCTCCACTAAGAAGCTATCTTGGATATATGGAAATGAGGCCCTTCCTAAAACCCTCCAGGGACTCACTCCAGAAGGAAAAAGCGATCAGAAAAAAATTAGACAACACAGACATCAGAAGCAGCCTGTTAGACAAGTCTCTTCAAGAAGCCATACGAGTGGGGCTGCATTTCTTTAATCTTCCTAATCCAAGAGAATGAGAGATGTGACCCCACTCATAAATAAATAAATAAATAAATAGCAGCTATTTTACCCAAGAAACCAATATAACAATTTTGTGGTCCTGACTTTTGAGATCTGTGGTGAGATCAGATGATCTGTACCCTTCCATTCAAGGCAACAGACGTCTTCAAACTGTTTTTTAATTTGATTTATCCTTTGAAACAGAAAGTGCATTACATTTAACTGGTCTTGCAAAGGGGGTTCTCTTCTCTTTACAAACCGAATTCCTTATATAAATTAATAAAGGTTAAAGATGCTAATATATCACCATTATTAGCTTAAAAAAGAAAACAATATACATAGTCTATAGTATTCTTATGATACAAAACACTTCAAATTCAATTACAGCAACTAAGTGGACTTTTATGTTTCTGACCCAGAGCAGTTGTAACAATCCCCACCATCTACTTTAACACGCATTTTTATCAGAAAGGAATTAAATTAAATACAAGCTATTGTAGCCCCTCCCTCCCCAATACTTTCTTTAAATCACTAATAAATAGCAACAAACGACTGTGCAATTTCAGAGAGGAACGGAGAGACAGGTCTGAGGCCTTGCCTGGTTCCACGTCTTCGGCGTCAAGTCCGGGAGGCGGGAGCGGGGCGCGGAGCCAGGGGGTGGTCAGGGGCGAGCAGGAAGGGACAAAGGGAAAAGTGAGATTGAACAAATCCAAACCCGGGAGAGGAGCGAGAGGAGATGGGGGTGGGGTGGGGTGGGGTGCGGTGGGGTGGGGAGGTGGGGGGGCGGGGAGAACATTCTTCTCTACGCTTCTCAAATTGAGTTCAAAATAAAAGGGAAACGTGTGGTTTGAGTAGCTCTTAAAGGGGGTAAGGGTGAAGGAAGCGTCTTTTTATACCAAATTCAAAAAGGCATTTTACATTTTAAATATTCACAATAAAGTACTTCTAGTCAGTGTGACTCACGATTTATTTACAAAGAGCCTTCAACAGGTTGCTTTAGTCGCACAGCACTTTGTGGGGGGCCCATCGGGGGCGGCCGCCGCCCGCGTGGCTCTGCGGTCCCCGCGGTGGGTGTGGAACCTCGAACAACACCTCTGAGCGCCCCCCCCCCCCGCCGCCCCGGGGGCTCGGGCGCGAGGGGGCGGTGCGGGGCCCCGCGGCCGCTCCCGCCGTGGGCTCGGGTCTAGGGCCCCGAGCGGAGCGGGGAGGGGGGCTCGGCAGCGGGTTTCGGGTGCTTATCTACGCAGTGCATTTCGCGACTTCTCTGCCTTCTCATCCGCCCGCGAGTGTCTCTCTCCCCCCGGCCCCCCTCAACTCGTAGGTTAAAAAAATAGATCTGTACATCTCAGAAAATAGCAAAGGGCCCGGGCAGGCGGGGCCGCGTCCTCGGGGCCGCGAGGGGCGGGCAGGCGGGGCGCGCGCGGGCCCCGGGGCGGCGGCCCGAGGCCGGGCAGGCGCGGGGGGCGGCGGGCGCTCAGGACGCGCTCTCGGTCTCGGACGCGTGCAGCAGGAGGCCGCCGCCGCCGCCGCCGGACTTGTGCTTCTTCAGCAGCTGCGTGATCTTCTCGTCGTCCGAGTTGGGGTCCAGGGGCTTGTTGTAGTCGTCGTCCTCCTCCTCGTTCTCCGAGGCCCCCTTCAGCCGCTCGGTCTCCGAATCCTGCTTCTTCTTGGCCGTGGCCATCTCGGCCGCGTGCTTCTTCCTCCACTTGGTCCGGCGGTTCTGGAACCAGACCTGAGGGCCGAGAAAGGGGAGGAGAGGGGAGGCAGGGCCGAAAGGAACCGAAGGCGGGCCGCTCCCGGCACACGCCGCTTCCCGCACGACCCCCTGGCGGCCCCTGCGGCGGGCCCCGGACGGCCGCCCACCTCCCTCAGAGACCTCCCTCGTTGGGGCCGCCAAAGTCCGTCTCCACCGCCCCAGCTCCCCCGGGGATCAGGCCGCGACCCGCGGCCTGCCGTTGCCATAGCGATAGTAACACGAGAGAACTCAAGTTGTCAGTGAGCTCTCTCTCAGAAGAGAAAAAACTTGGAAACTTAAAATGAGTTTCCCTAAAAATGAGTCCGCTTTCCTACTTTCTGGTCTGAGCGCGAAAACTTCTCACCTTCCTAAGTTTGCCTTATCATGGCTGTGATTTTATTTGCTCTTTACTTTCTTAGATTAAGGCTTTCAAACAACCTGAAGTGTACTGGCTGGTTAGTGTGATTTCTGGGAGAAAGCAGACCATTCACCCTCATTACATCTGTTCCCCTTTTCACTTTTGGATATTTGTCTCTTTCACGTATCTCAAGCCTAAATCCACACAAACATGGCAGGTAAACGCTCCCCTCCCCATTTACACTTGTGATGTACCACGTAAAGTTAAAAAAAAAAAGAAAAAAAGATTTGCTAAAACCGAAACCTCTAATCACTAATAATAACCCATATAAGTGCATGATAATACTGAATAGGTTAGGCAAAATCATCACAGAAGTTTGTGTGTGCCTCTGTCTCTGACTTAATATCTTTCATAAAACCAAGCTAGAATTTTCATTAGTTATTTCTTAAAAGTGAAATTTTGCCAATTACCTTACTTCCCACTGTTAGCATGCCTAGTCTTTCAAATACTATTTTAATTTGTTCCTCTCCAGGACATTTATTGTACATAACAAATATTTTAAGCCTATTCACAATGTTTGACACCATATTTGATATACATATTTTAACCTAAGGCATCAGCCATAAGCAACCAATTTCCCAAACATTATCTGCTCTTTATGCGTCTCATCCATTTTCTCATCCGTTATGTATTTTATCTAGAAAATCAGAATTGTGAAGAAAGCGATTTTTATTTTCCTTATACAGCTATAATAATTCACTTCCAGGCACACAGACATATTTACGGTGACAAATGAAGACTTCCAGCTTACTGTGGTAGGCTGTGTACCCACCACTGCAAAAATAATTTTAACTGTGATGGTATTCTAATGGTCACATACAAAATCACTCCTGAAATGCATTTTATGATGCTTGCCCCCGGGGGAAATACACTCTAACCAGCAGAGGTGGCTAACAGTTATTCCTACTTAATCTAAGGAGCAACAATATTACTAATGAAAACAGACACTCTCTTCCCCACTCCCAAAAAAACCCAACTATAATAAACTGAAGAAGAGAAACAAAAGGGAATACAGGAAATATAGGAAACCACTAGATTTAATTTACCTAGCTGGCTCATCCTTTTATTTTTCAGGGAAAGATTTCTCAGATTTGATTCCCTGGAAATATACTGTATAATGCAATTACAAGATAAGTGACATTTTAATTATAAAATGTCACAAACAACAATATATCTTACTATTGTTGATAACCTTAGAATTCTTTCATAATACAGTCATAATGTCAATTCGTTTGGAAAATTGCTATTCCAAAGTTATGGTCTTCAGCTAAACTAAAAGCAGATCATCCTTGTGAAGTGGCTGGATCCTGTGGATATTTTTTTTTTAACCTGCTAGTTAATACAGTAGTAAATCATAACTAGAGGAGCCTGAATTGACAAACAAAAGCCTGAATATCCTTACAAATAGAATAAATAGAAGCTATCTAACTGGCCTGATGTATTCTCAGGGCTGATATTTCGGTAATGCTTTTATTCTCTAATAATGGCGAGTTCCCCCAGCACATGCTGCTATCTAGATTAACCTAATTTCAAAGGCGGGGGCTTGATTCCTTTTGTTCATCAACAGTTTGCTCGCCTAGAGACCCCAGGGCCTTTGTAAGCCCAACTCCCACCCCTTTCGCTCATTTCGTCTTCTCCCCAGGCTCCTCGGATCCGCACCCCCGACCGCTGTTTGCTAGAGGTGTGTGCGTGTGTGTGCGCGAGTGTGTGGGCGCGCTGGGGATTGGGAGGCCATCCCTAAAGGTTTGCAAGGTCCACTCACCTTGACCTGACTCTCCGTCATCCCCAGCGAATAGGCCAAGCGAGCCCTCTCGGGCCCCGCCAAGTACTTCGTTTGTTCGAAAGTCTTCTCCAAGGCGAAGATCTGCTGGCCCGAAAACGTGGGTCTCGTGTGTTTTCTCTTTCCGTCTTTGTCCAACAAAATGGATCCTTGATCTGCAAGAACAGATAAGCAAGGCAAGGGGAAAAACAATCGGTTACAAGCGGTTCCACTGAAAGAAACGAATTCAAAAAACAATGTTTGGGGGAAAGCTTATTCTGCGGCAGAGATCAGAAGTGCCTGGCGCTTCCAACCCCACCGCGCGGATCTCTTTGCCTTCTTACGCCCACCTGTTTTTAAAAGCCTGATGTGTTTGGAACAGCAGTAAATAACCTTCTACCGCACACCGACGTCAAACACCGAGGGAGCGCATTGCTGAAGTTTGCCGGCCCCGATTCTCCAGGTCCCAGTAAATTGAGAATGCAGGGAAAAAGCCCCTCTCGCCTCCCACTCCATTTGGTGCTCGCTTGGCCCGGGGACTTTGCATGACGATGGCTAGTTTTGTTTTGTTTTGTTTTCCTTGAACGCTTTCCTAACCTGTGTCCGCACAACAAAGAGAGCCTTGTTTTTTGCACACAAGAGAGCTAAATCGCCCCCAAGTCTAACTAACGCGGCTGCGGCCGAGGGGGAGGGGGTACCGCCTTTGTTGGCGGTCCCTCCTTGGCCATCAAAACGAATACAATAGCGTCTCCCCGACACCCTTGCCCTCCCGGGCCGCCCTCAGCCCCCAGGCTTCCCAAGGGAGCCTCCGCTGGCTCCCGCAACTTCTCTTAGTTACCGCCCTTCAGCTACACCAAAAGAGGTCTGGAGACTTAATGGAAACTTGGGGAAGTCGGTCAAGAGCAAAGAACAGAGCAAGAAAAAGACCTGGGCAGGGCCTCGAACTCCGCCTGGAAGACATGGAGCCTCCGTGGCGGGGGCCAACTACCCAGATAATTAGACTGCGAGCTACTCAGTAGGTTTCAAGCAAGGGCTCGGTGGAATGTGAGTATTCCCCAGTCCTTCTCTCGCCACTTCGTTCTTCCTCTGGTTCATTTTCGTGTTAGGATGTTGAGGGCCACGATACCTCTCAATATGCTCAGGCCCAAGGTGTCCCAGTCCTTTGCTACCCGTCCCCCCCCCCATTCACCCCCCCCCACCCGGGGGACCGAGGCAGGTGAGAAGCTAGGGCCCAGCGGAGGGGAGTGTCCCGCATGGACGGCACTGGCTCCTGCTCCTGCCGCGGGCCTGTCTTCAATAGGCTCACCCGGCCGGAGTGTACTGGAAAGGGGGGGGGGCGGGGAGGGCTCCTCGAAGGCAAAGAGGTTAGGTGGGGACACCCGGGGCCGAGACGTACAGCAAATACATGCGCTCTGCTCAGGGTTTTGGAGGGCTTGCCGCTGTGGTTCCCCGCAGATTCTCAAAGGTAGTTAGGCAGGCGAAGGTGGAGTGGGGCCCTGGCCGACAGGCAGGAGCCTGAGAAGCAGGGGTGCAGGCGGGGGCGCAGTGGCCTCTCCTGCCCTTCCCACCTCTTTAGCACAGGCCCGGCTTGAGTTTCCCGTCAGGCTGTTCCAGAGTAGCCGGGGCCTCGGATGACACACACGCCCAGCACCACGTCGTTTGCAACACGGACGCATGCACACCCGCTCCGCGAGGCCTGCCCAACACTTGGAGAGAGGGGGGCGCTTGATGCAACCCCACGAGCTCAGGAAAGCCAGAATCCCTCAACGAATGCCCTGACCCAGCCTAAATCGTGCGACTCTGGGGCTGCCAAACTACTGGGGAGCCAAGAGGGTGCACCGATCCGCATGCACACTAGGGGCCCTGACCCGAGAGCCGGCAGAACACGCACAGCTGGACTCAGGCGATCGTACTCACGCGGGGTGCAGGCCAGGCGCGCGTCCCTCCAGGGCGGGCTCTGCATAACTCCTGGCCAAAAGATGGGTGTCCGGCCGGGCAGCTCCGCCAGCGGCTTGGGGTACCGACCCACGGCGGCCACGGCCGCGGCGCTGGGGCTGAAGTAGAGCCCGGGCGGTGGCGGCGGTGGACTCAGGCTGCTGAAGCGGGGCAGGCCCGCCAGCAGCCCCGCGGGGGACGAGGCGGCGGCCGCGGCAGCCGCGGCGGCCGCGGCAGCCGCCGAAGCGGAAGAAGCGGAGGTGGACGAGGAAGAGGAGGAGGAGGAACCCGAGGGCGAGGCGGAGGGCAGGGCGGCCCCTGAGGCCACGGGCATGGAGGGCCGGCTCAGGATGTCGTTGATGCCGTGTGGGGTGGCGGCTGAGAGCTGCTGTGGGGGGCTGCCCAGGGACGAGAGCCCCCCCGCGGTCGGGGGCTTCAGGCTGCCTGGGTTGTGGGCGCCCAAAGGCGGGGAGGGCGACGACGAGGAAGACGAGGACGACGAGGAGGAGGGGGGCCCGGCGGGCAGCGGGGGGTACGCCGCGGGGTACAGCGGGGTCTTCATTTCGGCCATGCTGTGCAGGGCAGCCAGGGGCGGGCTGCTGAGCAGGAACGCGCTCTGCCGGGTGCCCTCCATCGCCCCCACCGCTAACATCCCACGGCCAGGCCGGAGCCCGCGGCCACACAGCGAGGGCGCCGGCCGGCGTCCCGGCGGGGCTCAGGAGAGCGAGAAGCGCCGAGGGCGCGAGCGTGGAGTCGCTCCGCGCTCCCGGAGGCGACCTGCCAACTGGGCCGCGAACGCCGCCGCCGAGAGTTGCTCTCGAAGCTGCGCAGCAGAAATGTCCAAACACGCCACTGAAGAGGCGGTGGCTCGCCGAGATCAGGGGGCGTCCGGGAGCGTTTGGATGTCCTTTCGCTCCTCGAGTCCTGGATGCAGCCTTGGTCTCTTTTCTCTTCCCCACTTTTCCTTGCCTCTCAACGTGCACTACTCATCTTCTCCCCCAGAGAAATAAGCAAAACAAAACCCAGGCGGCCGCCAGAGTTTGCAACAAAGTTAAGAGTCACCGAATCTCCGCTTTGATGTTGGAGTGTGGGGACTGGCTCGCTTTCTTTGGGGAGGTTCAAAGGACTCCAGGTTCCTCCGGACGCGCGCCTCCGATCTTCCTTGGCTGCTCTGCTCTTTCGCCGCGAAGCAGATTCGCACTTGACGCTCGCTGCGCCCCGGGAGAGAGCGCATCCAGCCCGCGGGAGGATCTCGCCTCTGCGCGGGGCTTCCTCCGCCGGTTCTGCCCGGGGCCGGTGCGCCAGAAAGGGCAGTGCCACCAACCCCCGCCGCTCCCGGATTCGGCGCGCCAACCCGCCTTCCCCTCTGGGCCACCGGGCACTAGAGTTGCGATATTGGAAAGAAAAGGGGGGAGGGGAACAAACCCCAGAAAGGCAAAGACTAAGTGCGAAAAGTCTGACGGCCTCGGTTACGGCTCCGCGCGTCTGTCCACTTCTGCAGACGGGCCTGGCGACCCCCGCCCCACCCACCCCCAGCACCCTCTCGTCTTCTCACTCGCCGCCTTTGCCTCTCCTCTTTCGCATTTCTTCGCGGCTTTTCAGGCTTCGTTCTTCTAAGTCCCGTCCTCTGACCAAGCTGACCCTCTCCGGCTCTTCCACTCCCTCTCTCTCTTCCCTCCTCTCTCCTCTCTCCCTCGGGCCTGACAGTTCAGATGAAGCTCTCAAAGGTAATAAAACATTTGCATCACTACCTAGCCCTCTTCAGCTGGGGGACAAAAAGGAGGGGGAAGAGGGGGTCCAAAATGAGAACTTTGAGGGACGTCACACGAAGGCGGCCGCGAGGGGCGGGGCCGAGGAGCGGCCAGGGGCGTAACCACCGTCTCCAATGGCGCGCAGCCCTGGGCCTCGGGTCGCCTTTGGGGCGCGCCCACTCCGGGGCGCCGCGCTCTCTGATTGGCTGAAGAGGGCGAGTCGTGGGGCCGCGCCCGCTTGGTTCCCGCCTTCTCCGGTCCCCGTCCCCTCTGTGGGTGGGGCCAGGGGGCGTGGCCTGGCGAGTGGTGCGGTTCCGCCTTGGGGCCAGGGGACGCCTCAATTAATTGTGTTAAATAAAATGGAAAAGTGGCGGGGGGAGCGGAGACGGAGAGGGTATTACTTTTTAAAGAGAATAATGAAAACCCAGACCTTTTATGGAAAAGCAGTTCATATTCTTCCCTCGCCTCCCCCCCCCCTCGCCTGCCCGCGTCACCCTGCCCACCCCCCTTTTCCCTACGAGCTCGCGACGCCTCACCTCGAACAGTCTGGTTCCTTGTAAAATGGAGCTAATGGAGCGGGCAGCCGGCGCAGCCCTGGCCTAGCTCCTTCTTTTGAAGGGATTAATTAAAGGCCATCTGGGCTCTCCCAGAATTGTGTAAATTAATTTGTCCCTCCTTAAGCCTATAGATGTCCCTAATCCCCTAGTAGGCCGAAGGATAGTCCTCTCCCATTTTTGCCACCTCCCTCTCTCCTTCTCTATTCTTTCTCGGTTACTTTTCTTTTCATTCCTAGGTCCCTCCGCAATGTTATAATTTAGAGGTTTACTCAACACACAGAGAACGGAATCAGTTTAATAGGAGTATTTGTTTCTCATGTGATGTTTGGACCTGAGAGGAGTGACTTCGTTTTTTTTTTTTAAACTTTTCCGTCTTTTGATTATTGTTATTTGTTCTGAATTTACACGGAAGCAGAATCACCAAAATTGTGGTCCATGTACCGAAGTATCTAGGTGCCCCCTGGGGACTGTAAGTTTTTGGAAATCATCTCTGAAACCCTAGCCCCTTGCCCTCAACTCCAGGGGTTGCTTTGAGAGATGGAGATGTCCAAGCTTCTGGGCTGTGGCGATGGGATGTCTAAGATTTAGGAGTTAGAGAGCGATTTCCTTTATTCCCTCTCTATCTTCCATCCCTGGCCCCTAGTAAAATGATCTTGAAATTGCTGGCAGGGTTGAGCTGTACAAGTGTCCAGGGAGGAAGACCTTTGCATATTCCGAGATTTCAGGATGTTGAAGCAACACATCATTTAGGGGTGGTCATTAGAGCAATCTGGATGAGATCATCAAGTCCAAACCTAATTCTTAGAAAATAGAAATAAATAGCTCAAGAATAAAATTTGAGTGGCATGTCCCATGGATGGAGTTTGGCTACGAGTGCCAAAGCTCTCATATGGGTGAAAGCACCAAAACCCAGGAAGGCTTATTCCATTTTGATAACCTTCATTTCTAACACTTTTGTTTTTTTAAGAGTGGCGGCTTGAGCTTGAGTTTTTTGTTTTTTGGGTCTTTTGTTTTGTTTTTTTGAGTTGTCTTTTAAAAATGTTTTTGTTTATCCTTTGCCACTTTTATTATTCTTTTCTGAGATAAAAGTAATTTTGGTCTTATTTGATCCCCCTCTTTCCTCTCCACCCTTCTTCATTAACTTCGAGACTGAGCTAAATCCATCACTTCACAGACCTTAAAATCTGACCTGCGAGAAGGTGAATTCTATCCTCCACATGGATTTGCTGAGTCGGGCAAGAAGAGAGTTCTTGCAGGGACCCTCTGCATTTTCTTGCGAGGATGTTCTACCGGGCTGTGGGTCTAAACCCCAGCGCCCTGCTGTTTTGGCCAAAAGAACACCACGGGTGGAGCAGGGAGCCCCACGCTGTGGCCTAGTTGCTGGGGCCCCTCCACCTCTCGCTTCGTTACAAACGAAACTTTTTCTTGTCTCGAGAGATCACAATTGACGGTGGCAGGCAGTCTCCTTCCTGCACCTCACTCCTGGGCCACCAGCGATCTCCTCATATTCCCCCAGGACACCGCATTCTCAAGAACTAGGTAGGAATGGAGGGGGGAGGAGGAGGCTAGTGATCTCCAATTATGTCTATATCCAAAAGAGACCCCCCTTTATTTCATGTAAATATTGTGACCTGGGAAAGAATTGGATATTTTCCTTTTTTACATGTAGTATCTGATATGGGGAGGGGTGAGGTAAAGAGACAGAGAAAACACACACACACACACACACACACACACACACACAGAGAGAGAGAGAGAGAGAGAGAGAAATTTAACTCAACCCAACCAACTCCGGTTTAACAGACTTTGGTAAATAGTTGCAAAGCTGGGTGCAAGGCGTCTCCACCATTTGCTTTTATTTATCATTCACATTGAGGTTAAAATAGCGGCATTTTATCTTCACTGTTACAATAAACAAATGCTGGGGTCTGTGTACCTCGCTCCCCGGGGGTGAACCCTGGGTGCCTGAATCCCGCGTGGGGCCGCTTGTATTCCAGACACACGCTGCGCTGCGCTGAAGGAAGGCGGGTGCTGTTTGTCATCGATCTGCTCCGTCTGTCTCTAGCTGGGAGTGGAGGGAGCGAGGGGCGTCTTCCAAGGGGAGTGGGCTGCTCCTGTCACTCACGGGGAGAGGTGGCCCTGCCGCTGCAGAAGTATTCCCACCTTCGGGGCTGAATCTTGGAAGGGCTGATCCCGACGCTGCCCGGGGAGGCCAGTTTCTGCTCCGGGCCGTTTTCCACGCAGCTTACAAACGCCCTAGAGAGTAGGGCCTTTCCCCCGGGGAACCCCCAAGACCCGCACGCCTTTCTGCCCACGACCTAGCAAAGTCGGACATTTCCGAGTCCAGCTAGGAGTAGACGCTAGGAATCGAACGTGTAACACGTAGTCGCCCCCCTCGCATCTCTGCACAGTACATATATTTTGGGGAGCGGGGGGCTGTGTTTGAAAGCGAACGATTTGCATTTTAATTGAAAAATAAATGAAAGAGTGTTGGCATAGTCTGCGGTTGCAAAAAGAGTTGAAACGGTAGGGAAGGGGAAGGCGACGAGCCTCGCTTGACTTTCCTGAGCCGGGGATCAAACGAACCCGTTTTCGAGTTCCCGTTGCTAGCCTGCTCCAACAGCTACGCGGCCGGTGCGATCCGCTTGGCCATCCTACCCTGGGCCCAACCCTTGACTCAGAAACGCCTGGCGCATTTTGATACTTCTGCTTTAAGTTAAAGGAACAGCCACTAAATTCAGGGTAATTCGCAGAAGGAACGCACATGAAATCTCAGCTAAATGTTCTTAAGTCCAGCAGTCGAGAATGAGTGGTAACTCTTCTTCCCCAAATATATTAAGGCCACAAGTCGGAATACTCAAATGTAGCCTTAAGGATCCTGTTCTATACTCGCAAAAGGCGGCGGACACGGGCAGGGGTGGCGGGTATGGAGGGAATTACGTGTGTGTTTCAGGCCAAACACCTCTCTGAAATGTGTCTGCTTGAGCTGCCCAGATGACTTCTTTAATGACCACTTCGGCGGCCAGCGAGTGGGGCCTGTCCGGGCTGAGCCCCGGGCTGGCTGGGTTTCTGCTAGTGTTGTAAGAGGGGTCGAGCGGCGGCTAAGCACAGACACACAGAGAGAAGAATGTTCACAAGGTGGCACCGAGTCGGTCTCAGAGAAGGAGAGCAGCGGGCCAGGGAGGGCACGTCTGTCCTCTTTGCCCCCTGCAAACGCCGTGAGGGGGGCCTGGACCCTCGGCTGCCTCTGCTGACCAGCAATTAAGAAAATGGTTTGGGGAACGTTGGAGTAGGAAGGGGCCGAGAGCGCTGTAGGGCCCTTCCGTCCGCGCTCTCCCAACGAG